TCTACTGATTTAGTTAATCCCCACAGACTAAAGATTATTGTTTTTTGAAAAAAATAAAGTGATTACTGAAATGAGTTAACATTGATAGTCATTAGGGTATGGAACAAAATTTTTCAAGTGGAATTTTGTTTCATATGGGTTTTAAATTTAGTTCTTTTTTTTAACATTTAACAGATGCATTACAGATTTAAGAATAATGTAGAATTTTCTAATATACAGTAGTACATTTCTTTTTCTTTTTAATGTGATTATGCTTTATTTAATTAAATAAACATTATGTAAGTGATGAAATACACTTTCAAGTGCCAGACAAAGGTCAGTTTATATATTAACTGACTAGTACAGACTGAAGTTTAATATATTTTCCAAGTATTGACGTATACATAAACATATATATAATCAATTCCTTCGTTTCTCTCTTCGTTTTAATCAATCAAGCGTAGACAGTTTGAAAATTAAAGATGATTTAAATGTGACTTACAATTCACTTATAAACAAAATTTCAATAATCATTCGTTTCTAATTACTATTATTTGGAGTTATGATCATAATAAGAGAACAGTGAAATAGTTTGCTATTAGTATGAGATTATACAATAGTTTACAGTATACATATAAGCCAAGACCACACCTATTAAGGATCCATATGGTCTATTTATACCTTTTATGAAATATATCGAGTTGAAACACTTTTGTGAAAAATTAACGAATATTTCAATAGTTTCAGTAATCAACTTTACAATACTCAATAAATTATAATTCTTGATTTAAAATTTGGAAGAATTATATTTGACAAGTGAGTGATTTTTTTAAGTTACTGTTTATTACGTCTTCATGTAAACATTAAATATTCGAGTTCCAGTGTGAACAACAAATCTGTGATGAAGGTACACCCAGCTGACGAATCCTAAATAGGACAAAACTCACATCCTGGATTCCACAACTAACCACCATCCATCTCTGTTTATAAAGCTTGTGACTTAAGGCAATATCGAAGCAGTCCGCACAGGATGCACATACACCAACAAGAGATTGATCAATTGCAGTCCTTAATAGCAATGAGAAGATACAAGCAAATAATACTGAGTGAACTTAAGTATTCACATTGCTTATGGTAAGCTGGCTTTATTAAACTTAAATTTGTGTCAACAAACATTTTAGTTATTATTATAAAGTAAAGAATTCAAGCATATTGAAAAATAAAATTTTATTTGAAACGGTATGTAATGTGAATGATGTATTTAACATAAACGTAGTAACCAATCATTATTCATTAATAATGTACCCACTATTTATTAAAATCATCTTAAGAAACATTCAACACATTCAGAGTGATAAATTGAATTCTAAAGAGTATGGTCATCCAGTAAATTAAAACCGCTTGGACAAAACGGACTAGTAAAAATAGACAAGCTACACAATGAATTAAACAAGATATTTAGTATAACAAAATGTATAAGTCACACAGAAATGAAACACCTATAGCCTATTAATTTGTTAGTAAGGATAAAACCAATGCACAGCGCCTATTTTGTGAAATTTACGATTTAATTAGGAAGGATTTCATTATGAAGACTAGGAGGTTATGTACATTACTTAGCAAAACAAGTGTAAATAAATTTCTACCATAACTTAGTTTCAGAGATGAACCTTTTTTATCTTCATTTTTCCTCAATTAGATGATAGTGTAATAATAAAGAATGCGACATCATAATCATTCTTTTAAAAACAGATTTAGAATGTATATTCGAATATTATTCCTCAAATATAAACTTATTTTTATTGAAATCATGAACCGATCAATGCCAGAAAACCGTTGAAAACCTGGAAGAATCGGACGATACTTTCGTTCTAGTATCACACTCACCAGAACTACCCATCCACGGTCCCGCACTCAGGCTTCGAACCCAGAACCTTCGGTCTCGCATGCAAACGCTTAACCCATAGACCACTAAGTCGACATTCGATGGTGTTAATGTTTAACTTGATTCAATTTACAGTGTTGTGTGACTATCTTCCACTGTCTTTTTTAGTAAATAAAATCCGAAAGTTTTCCAAAGAATAAATGTTTTGAGTAAATTTATCCATTTAAGATAATATATGATGCTGAGATCGGTTCAACTTCTATGAATCTTTCACTAATGTTCTATTACATGACTTTAAATTATACTGATCTTATCACAAACCGCTTGTTTAAATTAATCCGTTATAGTTCCGAATACATTGCGGAAATCATCTAACTGCATCACGAAGCAATTACTAACTTGGGATCTTGAAGGGAACCGGAAAAGTGAAATGTTAAAGAACGTATTGCATTGGAAATCGGAAGTAGATATAAAAGGAATGAATAGCAACTGAAAACAACTTGGATCGACTGCTCAGAACAGGGCTAGATGGAGAATGTTGGTAAGCGACCTATGCTCCCCTATGAGGAGTGACAGGCGTTAGTAAGTTATAGCTCCAAAATGATTTTAAAATTAATTCAATTGAATAGAAAACAAATAATTTCATAGTTTATAAGATAATTCAAAACCAGTCTTTCCTTAACAAGTATCTTTTATCAACTTTTTTTATTCAATCTTTTCTCTTTGAAATAGTTCATAATAGAAATTAAGGTGGTTTCTTTTCAAAATTAACAATTTGTTTTAGAATAGAAAGGCGATATAATTCAAATTGTTGTCCTCACTTTTTGTTAGATTTCAGTCCTCTATAGAGTTTTTCTCACATTTTCTTTAGTTCACTCACTAATTAGACCTCCTTTTGTTAAAAAAAGTGTCATTATTGTTTTTGTCGTGTTAATAAGACTACCTATCTGTATGCGTTTTGTTAATGGATAAAGAAACATGTTTATTATTAAAGTTTAGAAATTAATAAGTTTATAAACAACTGAATCAAACGTTAGGAGGAAATTTGTTCAACTTTCAATTTGGTGTTCACCACATTAAAAGTTATCATGGGTTGATTGAAGTTAGACATTAACACAGTTGGATGTCAGCCAGCTCATTGATCTAGGGATTAAGCGTTTGCGTGCGAGACTGACAATCTTGAATCCGAATCGCTAGCGCGTCCCATACCAGGACGAAGTGGTCATCTAGTGCTTCCAGATTTTCCATGGTGGTCTAGCTTCAATTGACTCATGATTTCAATGAAAAACTTAACAATCTCCACAACCTCTGAACTGATGATTACATATTACTCATTTGTTAATCTAAAGTTTTCTAGATATTTTGCTAAAGAGTTTATAGTTTATGTGAAAATTATTCATATATTCATTGTTTAATTTTTTTAACTTGCTAGAATTATATCGAAAGTATTCATTTTAGCATTCTATACTGCTACGTATTGTTTTAGGTAATGGTACGTACTAAATTCATCTGATATTGTGTTGTTTTGAACCTTCTCGTTGATGTTTAGGATTAAAGTTGATCAGTTTCTTATTGACATATGTGTATCATGTGTGAATTGTCTCGACATTGCTTTAAGTCACAAGCATTATAAGCCATTTCCTTGTGCAATGGGCTGGCTATCAGAACTCAGTAGTTAAATGGATAACGTGATGGCATTTGAAGTGAACGGTATTGGGTTCGAGTTTTGGTGTGAACATTTACTCTGGGATACAAGTACAACTAGCCACAATCCATCTCTACTTATAGTGGAACATACTTACGTGTGCTTTTTGTTATATGTTAATATTCAGCAGAATATTGTGCGAATAATGGAAAATACTTCGATACTCCCGGGAAATAATTTTCTACTATCCAATATTTACTTAATCCAATAACTTTATGTATATTTAATTACATAACAAGAATATACATGCTTATCTGATAATAATTATCGAAAAAAAAACAAATCGTTTGTCTATATGCTGCTAAAAACATACTAACAACTAATATTAAAGATATGTCTAAGGATCTTGATAAGAGTGTGGCATATTGATAGGAATATAAAGTAGGATTTAGACAAATCACGTATTCAAATTATCATGTTTGTACAACGATTTTCTTACTTAGTCTTTTTATTTTAGTTAACTAATGAACTTATTCATTAAGAAATTGAGAAACAATACTATTAGTCATTAAATACAGTTGTCTTAATTACAAATGATGAATGGTGTAAAAACACACACTAGTTGATCTAAACTCAGTCAGATATTGAATCTTAAACTGTTGGTCTTTTTTCACGACAGTGCTATCCATATATGATAACTCAAATTTTTTCAAGAACCTAGTTTCAGCTGTTCCACACTGTTTTTTTATTTATCAGTATAACAACTAATTTACAATGAAACAAAGCTTAATTTTTAAGCATTCAGAAACAATATTTCATCAAAATTCACTCAATATACATTTTTCCAAGTTCCTGGGTAAGGAGGACAACTTTGCTAGCTCTAATTTGGGCGGTTGAAGAGATTGGACTAACCCGCCACTCTGTTGTAAACCGAATTGACTAGGTTCAAATTTCGAGGCAACCTAAATTGAACATCAGTCATATATATATATATATATATATATATATATGACTGAATACTTCAGTGACATGAGAATATATTGCATTTATACTATGCCTAATATTTAAATGTAGTGGACATGAATTCTCATACTGAATAATCCAACTTAATGAGATGAATGGTACAAATTCTGGAAGTATAAATTGATAGCTTACGAAGAAATCCAAATTGTATTGTTCTGGTGTTACAGAATGAGAAAAATTTATTCATACACTTCATAATTTACATTATGCATAAATTACACTTCACTTCCACAGTATCAATAAAACCAAATGTCAAATCTCATACAGACTAAGATCGTCTGTGATGTACATGAAATTCTAAACTACACAGAACATTATTCAACAACACTATGGTTATAAAATCAAACAAATCAAATGCATTTAAACTACTGACAAACAGTCCATGTAACAAAACGATTAAACACCTAAAAAATATATTTAAAAATATATAATATAATACATTACAAAATAAAAACAAAGTAAACTCACTTGAACTCAATGTGATTTCTTCCAAGTCGGCTATTCTAGGAAGGAAATCTTTTAGATGAGTATATTCAAGCACAAGCGAATCACTGTCAATATATGGCACATCATTATCTTCGCATTCATAACTACTAAGCACTTGCTTATCATTATGTATGTTACAAGTTCTAATTTCATTTCTTGCTAACTGTTTCTCATTAATAGTGTTGTTAATACCATAGTTAGTTAGATTATTGTTAGTGTTTTTACTTGAAGAATTATATTTATCTGTGGAATGTGAACAGTCATCCTCCCAGCGATACGATTGACTCTGTAATTCTAGATCACGTATTCTTTGTATTACACTAGAATTATTCTTATCGACATAGTTTGAATATGTTAAATTTTGATCATTGTAAATTTTTTTATTCTGTACATGAATATCATCTTGGCATGGATAACTATTATCATCGTTCTCTTCATCATCATCTAATTTGTCCTCATCCTCTTCATCATCACAACCATAATCATAAAAACTTCTTTTCTCTTCCATATCATCATTGTTTTGACAATAAATCCCTGTTGAATTATTCAGCTTAACATCACGACTCAAATATTGTGGAAAAAATCTCCTACGTGCCGGAGATAAATCATCATGATAAGAATTACTATTTGCCCCTCCATTTCTTATGTTTTTATCTGAACAAGAATCATCATTACTAATAGTCTGATTCAATACTCCTTGCGAATCTGAAATAGAACAATTACTCTGTTGTCCATTTTTCACTTTTTCTAATATACTACTTAATTCAGCATCTGATTTTATCAGTAGATCACTCACTCCAACAACAGCTGGAGATCTTTGTAACGGACGAAATAAACTATTAATATTACCATTTAATTTTGCTTTTAAACTTTCCGAATAGTTTGACTGTTGTACAAGATTAGACGGCTTGCTAGAAAATTTCTCATTAGGTTGGGAATTTTTTACTGTATTCATTTCTAGATTCTGAAGGTTTTGGTCATCCAGTTTTTTAGGATTATCATTACTAAGTTTGCTATTTGTAGGGCACTTAAAATTTGTTGAGGATAGTTTAGACTCGTTTAACTCATGTTTATTCAAGACAAAAGGATTTTGTTGACAAGAATATGAAAACAATTTTGAATAGTCTATAGGCTTAAAATCAGGACTTTTAACATGATGATATGTTATCGGTTGATTATTGAATGTCATTTCATTTGAATTAAGTTTTTCTTCAAATAATATAGGTGGTAAACCGTCTGTTTTGTCTTTACATTTTTTATACTGATTACACAATGATGAGGATGACAACGTGTTAAAGTTTGTTTGAAGATGGCCTAATTTTGAGTGGATATCATTTTGCTCTTCCATGTAACATTTCTCAGATGGATTTTCAGGAGTAATAAAAATTGAATGATTAAAGTCATTGTTAGTCGATGGTAATGTATAGGAAAAGTCACGTGACGCTGTTTTAAATGTAGACAGACTCGTATAATTGTTTGTCTGACTTAAAGGATAATTATTTAACTGCGAATTAGTATGTCTGTCTAATAATCTAGAATGTTGTGTTTGATTAAGCGTGTTTGAATTATCATACAAACCTTTAACAGAGGATTGATGATCCATGGAATTTTTGGACAAACAACCAGTTAAATAGCTTCCATCTTGACTGATATGTGACGTAAATAACAATCTATTATCATCATGTTTATTATCAGAATCTCGGGGGATGTTTGTCGATGTGTAGTTCGAGATTAGGGGTCTAATTGATTGACTACTGAAAGATGAGTTATATCCAGTACATAATGGTTTCTGATTCCTTGCGTTTTTATAGAAGTCTTTATGACAACCTTTTATAGCATCGTTACTTGTTGTTACCATCTTGGGCATAAATGGAAAGGACATTGAATTCTCTATAAATGAATCATTTGGTGTAATATATGGTTTTTCATTAGAAACAGGATAATGTTTAATAAAACTTTGTGTAGACAAATTAGGTGTGAAACTAGAATCAATATCTTTCATTGGTTGAACACACAGATTAGGAAACTGTGCTCGTGTTGAATTCTGTATTGATGTTTTACATATGTTATTTGTATTGGATACAGAAACAAATGGATGGAATGTTGATGATAAATTTTGTGATGAATTTAATGGTTGTATAAATGAATCAACAGTGTTTTCATTTATAAAATTATCTTTTATTAATTGACCTGATATGTTTTTTGTATTACCATTTGGAGTACATTTAAAATGACCACTTTCATATATAACACTATAATTGGGAATATTTCCTGTATCATTTAAATATTTGACATTTTCATCTAATTTATGATAATTCAAAGAAGATGTCATTATTGGTTGACTTGGTGTTAATGTCCAACATAATTGATTTTTGTCATAATCCGTTGATAAGATTAATAATTCTTCATCAGTTATTTCATCATTCCATAAAGGTAAACTAAAATCTTTATGTGTTCTATTTATTTTATTCATAATAAATCCTTTTTGATTTTCTTTAAGCTCTTCATGTATTCTATCAAATCCTTGAATTTTACCATCATTATTACTATTATTCCTATTATTGTCATTATTATTATTACTATTACTATCAGTAGTATTAGTAGTAGTAGTACTGGCAATTTTAAAGTATTCGTTTCTTATTATTGATGAATTAAGTTCATTTGATAATTGTTTCTGTAATTTATAATTATTTGAAAACGTTTTTCTATTATCCAATGTAACAGGCAAATTTATAGTCCAAAAATCACCATTACCATTATTAGTCTTTACATTATTATTATTATTATTACTATTATTATTATTATTATTGTTATGATCCAATAATGGTTCATGTTGTTTAAGTTTAGAAAATGTATTATTCAATAAAGATTTATTTGATAATTTTGATAAAGAATTATTATTTATATAATTTTGTTCATTATTATCACTGATCATTATAGTGGCATAATTTGATGTTAAATCATTATCATTTATTTTTAATTCTGTATCCGTACAAAAACTAATTTGATCTATATCAATTAATTCATTATTAAATGTTCCATTTTCTGATGTTTCTAATTCACTTGTCTCTTCAGCAATTGTTTCTAAAAATGCATTACTATAAGATGCAATTAATGGTAATTCAATAAATTTATTATTATTATTATTATTATTATTAATTGATGACAACATTTCTGGTTTTGATGAATGAATATAATTTATGGTGTTCACTTTATTGTCAGTAGTAGTAGCAACAATAGTAGTAGCAGTAGTAGTAGTCGTTGTTGTTGTAGTAATATTGATATGTTTAGAAGTTTTATTATCGATCATATTATCATGATAAACATATTTAGATAATTCATTCTTTTCTTTAGAATATTATCATTGTATACTTCCGGTTGAATAAAATTTTCTAATGATTTGTCAATTTCCATGTAAAGCTAATGATGATATTCTATATGATAATAAGAAATGTATAAAAATATATGTAGACAATATATTGGAAATAAATTTTCTTTACATCATACGATATTACTTTAAGGTTTTCTTTTAATTTTCTTTTTTCTCCTTTTTTTTCTTTTTTTCTTTCTCTCTCTCTATCCTTCTCTCCTTTCTTTTCAATATTCTGACAGTTTTTTTTATTGATTCAGTAAAATATTAATGAGAATATTTCATTATTCTATCAAAATCATTCATTATTAAATTTTTTTAAACTATCAATCCAAATATCAGTTTGTTTATCAATTAAATATCATGAATTCCATAATAGATTAAGAAATATAAATTTTATGATACATAACTTTCCCAGTTTTTTCTTTGTAATGACCTTAGTTTATTCTGATTTTTTTCTCTTTTTTCTCTCTTTTTTTTGTGGTGTTATTGTTAGTTTATTTCTATAATGATTGGGTGTGTTAGTTCCTAAGACAAATATTGTTTACTGGTCTGTTATTATTTTATAATTGAAGAATAAGGAATAAATTTTGTTTGGTTAAAAATTGGAAACAACCTATAAATATGAACATATAAACAGTAACACATTTCTGTATATCTATGTATATTGATATGCACATATGTACAAAAACACAAGTACATAAATATATATATACACATACACACAAACAAACAAGCACACAATTATAGTCTAAATTATGTGTCTTTATAAGGTTGAGGTTTTCTTAATGTTCTTGAAGTTCATTTATTATTACTGATGATGATGATTGCTGTATATCAAAAGACAAGTGTTTGTATCACGCTCACTAATTTATATGATACAAAAAAGTATGGAAAATTATTTTAATCTACAAAAAAAAGAAAAAACAAATTACAATGATAAGAACAACAACAACAATAACGCCAACACCAGTGTTTATGTACACGAAGTAAAATTAATTTATTTTGGGTCAATTGGGAATATATTCTTTATTGGATAGGTTTTTCTTAACAACAACAACAACAAAAACAAACTCATTTTTATAATGGTTGTTTAAATCTTCCCATTGATGATTAGGATTGTAATTGATCAGTCACATGCTGGTATATGTGCATCGTGTATGGATTACCTCGACATTGTCTTAAATCACAAGTATTATAAGCAGAGATGGATGATGGTTAGTAGTGGATTCCAGAACGCGCTTAAAATGCTTGTGACTTAAGGCAAATATCAAGGTAATACATACATGAGGCACATATGTCAACATATGACTGATTAATCGCAGTCCTAATCATCAATGGGAAGATTTGAAAAACCAATGCAAAAATGAATTAAAACTACACCTTATTTTCATAAGCAAGTGGCTATTTGGACTCAGCTAAATGGATAACGTGATGGCGTTTGAGGTAAACAGTATTGGGTTCAAGACCTGGAATGAACATCAACTCCGGGATGAAGGTACATCCAGTTGATGAGTCCCAAATAGGACAAAACGCGCGTCCTGGATTCCTCTGCTTTCAAAAAAATGTTTAAATTTGATTATTCATGTATTATTAATGAATAAACTGTATTGGAATAAAACAAAATTTCTGTAATTTTCTTGCATGTACTTTTTGTCACAAACTAATTCATAATTATAACAATAACTACTCATCAAGCTCAGTTCTTAAAAATCACGAAATGATCAATGACTGAGTAATTAAGAAAATACTGATTGTATGTTCAATGAGTGAACAAGAAAATTATGTAGAAAGATATGTATGATAATATCTGATAAACTTGACATACTTTAAGGTTAAAATTGAACAGGATTAGTTAAGAAAACTTTGTCACATAAGTTAAGGTTTGTAATGAGTTACATATTGGTTAAAAGTAATTATTATTTCCAAGAGTAAGTCCTCAAGCATACTTCCACTAAATAGATTAGTCTTATTTTAAACGTCCTCTTATATTTTGCTAATATGTACTATGCAAATTAAATAAGAAATAAGCAGAAGTTAGAATAACCTGATAATGAATTTTAAACCTAACTGACACTTAGTTAACAATGAATGGAAACAAATATCTCATTCTAGTTTAGGATATTTCAACAAATCCCGTTGTATATGTGTAATGTGAGAAAGAACTCAGGGATTTCAAGCTTTAATGAACTTAAAGCACCACATAATAATGCATTTGAGTCGTAAACTTATCTTCATATTTGATCAATGTATCATATATCTTCCAAAGTAACTGTTGATTTCTGCTTCATCCCTAATTTTCATAGGCCAATTGTGTGATTAATAATTCAATGTATTTTTCGCAACGTAATTAATCGAAAAATATAATGAATTTACAATGAAGTGGATAATAATACTACTGTGTATCAATAATATCTGAAAATGTCTATAATTATAAGTTTACTGAATTAAGACGAAAAACTTGGGACCTATAATATTCTAAATAAATGGCTGAGCGAGACATTGACTCCCAAGAAAATTATATATTCTAGAATGAACATCATTTGGAATAGTGGTTAGTTTAAAAGTCCGTTCTACCTTACTAATTATTGAAAGCGACTTTCCATCACATATCAGTCAGTTACGTGAACTATGCTCAAATTGAATTAATTTACGTAAATCACTTAAATGAATAATAGAATTTCTTTAGCTATGATATAAAACAAATCAAATGAAAAAAACACATTGAATTCAGTAAACTCCATGAAAATTCAATCGTATATGCTTGTCTACTTCATTACAGTGAATCAACATGTGCTCAAATGTAAATTTATGGCATACTTATGCTAAAATCGGTAACCAGTTAATCAACTCAAAAACTATGTTGTCGATGAATCTATGTGAACGACTATTTTAAAACAATTAAGGCAAACTTTTATTCATAAAAATGTCATAATGTAGCACCTAATTAATATTAACGATATGATAACATTTAATGAAATCATATTTCCAGTTGAATAAAGTAGAAACTTTTCGAATGGTTCTAAATTCTAAAAATGCGGTTAGATCCCAGATTTGTTGACAATGATTTAAAAAAAGTTGGGTAAATAAGTTTAACCTTATGATTGGAGGTAGTCAGCAGGAAACTATCAACCTCCTAAAGGACAAAGATACTTTGATCGATTGGTCATTCAGTAACAATCAAGGTTTAAGCACAAAAAATATAATATGAAATCGAAGTCTACGTGGCATCAAGTTATTTTAATTAGTGTTCACACCGCAGCAAGAATTCGGTCGGTACTCTGGATGGAAGAAACATGACACCATTCAGTGACCAAGGGAAATATACCACCTTCTCAAGAATAGACCTAAACTAAATTGTTGTATCTGTCGACTACTTCACTACCTTGGTTTTTCCTACTTCGAATAGTGAGTCGGATAACTCAAGCAAAAACTCTAAGACATTGGATGAGGATTTATTTGGCAATAAAAAAAATCAAATTTAATACATGAAAACATTTATTTCTATGTGCTTTACACTTATTAATAATCAGGTTTGTGTGTATTAAACAGAATAGCACTTGGTACAATTGATGGAAAATTTACCGAATAAACATTAACCGTCTATGACCGACAGAAATAGTGATATGATTACATCTTGAAATGCGATTACATCTCTTAGACCACTGGAAATAGAAATCCACATCGTATGTCAATCACACTCAAATCAATTAAGTCCTTGCTCGTCGCATTATACAAGAGAAAAATGATGAATCCGACACAGGTGATGAATAGGAAAACGTTGCGTTCAACTACAGCCATCCTGAACGATCAGTAAATTTTTATGTGTCGAATAAAATAAAAAAAACCATTTGAGAATTTTTTCAATAATTTGTAATTTTTGTTGCTGTAACTATCTGCTAAGTTTCAGTGTACTCACAAAAATAATTTTCATTCAATTCATTATCATTTTATGTGAACATAGTTCACAATTCAACTAAAACAATCAGTTTTTAAGCATACAACTCCCTTTTATAAAAAACCAGTGGTCGAGAGGTTAAACGTTTTCGTACGAAACCAAGGGTCCCGGGCTTGAGTCCCATATGCGGGATCGTCGGTGCGCCACTGCTGAAGAATCCCATATTAAGACAAAACAGCCGTTCAGGGTTTTCGGGTTTTTAATGGCGATCTAGCTTGTATCTAATCATAAATTCAACTATTAAAATCTAAGTTAACATCTTAAGGTTAAAACAAAAAATTTCACGTGTAACGAAGCTCAAACTGAACCATAACCAGAAAGTTTATCTTTTCTCTAAAAAACTGCAGAATCATTGGTTTGCTTTATGTTATTATGAATTGTATAAGCTCCATTTAATGTATTCGAAACGTAGGGATGACGGTATCGATTTATTCGATACTAAGAACTAGACAATGATACATTGATATTATTGATTAATCAGTGTTTAATTAAATCACTATCATCTTCAAATGATAACTTCATCTTTCCAGTTCATTTCATCCTTTTTCCTGTAAAAATCTTGTTTTCTACAGAGTTTTATTATAAACACTTGGAAATATAATGAATTGATATTTAATTAAGGTTCAAATTCTACCATTAGTAACTAATTTTAAGATGAATGTCCGGAAATTCTAGAATGTAAGCGATATCTACTGAAATTAGCCATATAAGTAGACATCAAGCTTCCGACGACAATGTACAAGAAGTCAGCAACATCGAAAGCTAATTACGCTTAAAAATGTGAGCCATTTGAGTTGAACATATAAATCTATAGATAATTCCCTTACTCAGTTGCTTAAAGTTATTAAATTTATTTCAATCATTTCCATTGATGATACCATTTTAATTAAACACTAATCAAATGAAGAATTTGATGTTCTTGACAAAAAACAGTAAGATAAACCAAAGTAAAACTTATATCGGAAGTGATTTTGTGAAGATT